GGAGGGTCAGAGGGAGAAGCAGACCCCCCGCCGAGCAGGGAGCCCGATGCGGGACTCGATCCCGGGACTCCAGGGTCATGACCTGAGCCGAAGGCAGTCGCTTAACCAACCGAGCCACCCAGGCACCCTTAAATTACCACTGATTTATATGGAAAATTTTTTGACCATTAATGTCTTCAAGTACAGTATTATCATTTTCTCATCGAGATCATGTGTATCTTGCAAGTCTTTTTACCAGACTGCTCCTCGGGCAAACCAGGCTCAGTATGTCCAGCCCAGTCCTGCTCACCTCCTGCCTTATGAGCCTTGTCCTGGCAGGCCTCACTGTCATCCCTGTCACAACCTTGGGAATCCTGTTTCCTTCTCTCCTATCTTTCCCTGGATCCTCATCAGTACCATCTTCATGCTCTTGGCCCCTTTGTACATTCTGTCTCCTAAGGCTACTGTGCCCTTTGTACTTTTTCTGTGGTAATTCCTGTGATCCCAGTAGGACTCGTATCATGGGCACCTCTTACTAGAAAACTCCCTTGGATCTCTTTCTGCACACAGTCAGCCATGCAAACTCAAGGCTAAGAACACAGAACTCCTCTAAGACTGCCAAGCCTGCCCAAGTCATCTGAAACCACTGGAAGTTCAGAGATTTCCCAGAACTACCTTCAGGTTCAATGAGTTGATAGAAAGACTCAAAAAACTTCTTAGAAGCTGTTATACTATACTTTCAATCATGTTTGTTACAGACAAAGGTGCAACTTAGAAGAGGGGCCAGAGGTGTTCCAAATACAAAACTCCCGTGTCTTCAGTGACTTGTTACCTCCTGGCATCCTGTGTGACAGTAGGTGCATGGATATTGCCAACCCAGGAAATTGGCCAGAGCCTCAGTATTTTTATTGAGCCTTCATTACATAAGCATGATTGATTGAGTCATTGCCCATGGGACTCCGTCTCTAGCCCTTTTTTCCTTTCCAGAGGTCCAGCTGATACCTCGTGGCTCAAAGCCTCAGCTTTCTAATTATGTGGTGGGTTTTTCTGATGTGGCCAGACCTTACCCTGAGTCATCTCTTTAGTATAAACTAGGGGCCCATGATAAGTTATGTGTTGTCATAAAGTATCAGGTGCATTCCTAGGCACCCACCATGAATGACAAAGACAGGTCTGTCACTCTGGAACTAAATAGTGTTGAGAGGTTACTTCCTTGGAGCTGGGACAAAGACCAAACTTCTTTTGGGGAAAGTTAATTTTGCATTGTGCGCTTTCTGTCTTCTATCAGGGCTCCATTAGGTGCCCTTTCCTAGTGCTAGTGTTCTTACAGCAACGTCCTCACTTAGAGGGGACCAAACATACAGCATTCTCACTAGTCTGTCCAGCCGCATCTAGTATGGAACTGTAGTGGTGTCTCCATTCCAGACCTCCGTCCCCTCACATAACTTCTCCTGGGTCTCCCTTTCAAGGTGTCAACAGTCCAAGGCCCAGGGGAAAAAAAAGAAAATGCAGTCCTGGGATTCAGAGGTAATAAAACCTCACAGACACAGGCACTGTTTTCATCTTCATTTTTTTCACTGAAATGCTGATTGTTTTTTTCTGTGTTGTCATTACTAACAGGTCTTTTTGTGTATTGGGTTTCTTTCAGGTGACAAGGGAAAACCCAAGACTACAGAACTTTCCCCTTGTGCACCAGCCCTGTCTGAGGGGGCCTTGTTCCAGGAACTAGGACAGGGAGACCCAGGGAATTTCCAGCTGGGCCAAACCAAGGATCAGAGTGGGCCATTAGAACTGCAGGAAGGACACTTGAGACCAGGGTTGGAACCTCAGAGGGAGAAGCTCTCTGAGAAAACAAGCCCTGAACATAATGGTTTAGGGACAGCTGATGGTATATGTTCGCAGGTTGCACAGGAGCTCATCCATTCAGGAGGTGCTGCCTATGACCATGACTCATGTGGATCAGGTAAAGATCCCATGATTCAGGAAGAGGAAAATACCTTTAAGTGCAACGAATGCGGGAAAACTTTTAACAAGAAGCACCTTCTTGCTGGACATGAAAAGATTCACTCTGGAGTGAAGCCCTATGAATGCACCGAGTGTGGGAAAACCTTTATTAAGAGCACACACCTCCTCCAGCACCACATGATCCACACAGGGGAGAGGCCCTACGAGTGCATGGAGTGTGGGAAGGCCTTCAACCGCAAGTCCTACCTTACACAGCACCAGCGGATTCACAGTGGAGAGAAGCCTTATAAGTGCAACGAATGTGGGAAGGCCTTCACGCACCGCTCCAATTTCGTCTTGCATAAGAGGAGGCACACTGGAGAGAAATCCTTTGTGTGCAAAGAATGTGGGCAAGTCTTTCGACACAGGCCAGGATTCCTTCGACATCACATCATCCACAGTGGCGAGAATCCTTATGAATGCTTCGAGTGTGGCAAGGTCTTCAAACACAAGTCATACCTCGTGTGGCACCAGCAGACTCACACTGGGGAGAAGCCCTTCGAGTGCAGTGAGTGTGGGAAAGCCTTCTGTGAGAGTGCAGCCCTCATTCACCACTATGTCATCCACACTGGGGAGAAGCCCTTTGAGTGCCTAGAGTGTGGGAAGGCCTTCAACCACAGGTCATACCTCAAGAGGCACCAGAGGATTCACACTGGGGAGAAGCCTTTTGTGTGCACTGAATGTGGACGGGCCTTCACCCACTGCTCTACTTTCATCTTGCATAAAAGGGCCCACACTGGAGAAAAACCTTTTGAGTGCAAAGAATGTGGGAAAGCCTTTAGCACTAGGAAAGACCTCATTCGACACTTCAGCATCCACACTGGGGAGAAGCCCTTTGAGTGCTCAGAGTGTGGGAAGGCCTTCAACCGTCGGTCAGGGCTCACGAGGCACCAACGGATTCACAGTGGAGAGAAGCCCTATGAATGCATGGAGTGTGGGAAATCCTTTTGCTGGAGCACAAACCTCATTCGACATGCTATTATCCACACTGGAGAGAAGCCCTATAAGTGTAGTGAGTGTGGAAAAGCCTTCAGTCGCAGCTCATCCCTCACTCAGCATCAGAGGATTCATACTGGGAGAAACCCTGTCAGTGTAACAGAAGTGGGAAGACCCTTCCCGAGTGGGCAGTCCTCAGTCACCCTCCGAGAACTCCTTTTGGGGAAAGACTTCTTGAATGTAACCACTGAGGAAAACCTTTTGCCAGATAAAACATCTACCGTGGCATCTGATCGGACACACCAAAGAGAAACCCCCCAAGTATCTACGCTGTGAGAAAATCTTCCATCCCAGACCATCAGTAGTCACGTAGAGATGCATTTTAGAGATTGACTGAGCCCAGAGCCTTATTCTGCATCTGAGAATTCATCTGTGAGGGGGAGAGCAGTGTTTACTGTGCACGAAGTAGAACTCAGCTACATGTTTCTCCTTAGTTTACACTGCAGTGTTATCTCAGGAATTTTTATAAAAAGAAGGTGGAGATGTAGAAGAGCAAATGAAATGAAAAACTTCTGAGACTTCTCTGTCCAGCTTACAGCACTTTGTCATGGATTCCTTAGTTTACTTGGGGCCAGGGAGATGTTTCAGAGGCAGTGGGCCTTGACCCTTAATGTCATGTATATACATTCATTGCTGTTCAATGTCAGGAGGGTTAGACAGTTGAGGACAGGTTATTAAAGTGATAAATAGACACATAAGAACACATTTTATTGTACCAGTTAAGACTCTAAAGCTTACATTTTTAGAAAACTGTTCTTTATTTGGTTTTAAACACCAAACAGACTTTTTCAGACTTGTTCTTGATCCGGTCTATTTACTTAATTTCTGTAGCTATATGGTAAACCTCAAAATTGGGTAAAGTGATTCCTCTGTATTCTTATTTAAATTGATTTAGCTTTCCTAATTCTTTTGACATTTCATATAAATCTTAGGATGCAAAGAAATCTTGCTTGCATTTTTATAGGAATTGGTTGAAATCTGTAGATCTGTTTGTTGAAAAGCAGCATCATGAACACCGTACATGGTATGCCAAGTCAGTTATTTAAGTAATTCTTGATATTTCACTGCTGTTTTATAATTTTCAACCTAACAGGTTCTGTACATTTTTGTTAAGAGTTGTATCTAGGGTTTTTTGGGGGTTTTTTTGGAATGATCATAAATGGCATTGATTTTTACAGTTTCATTTTTCCATATGATCTTTAGTAGTATGCAGAAAGATAATTGTTTTTGGAGTGATATTTTGGTATCCTGCAACCATGGTGAACTCACATTATTTGTAGACATTTCTTTGGGTAGAATCCTCAGGCTTTTCTGCAAAGACATGTCTGCTGCATATAGAGTTTTTTTTCTTCTTTCCCATCTGTATATCTGTTACTTTATCTCACTGCCCTAGTTAGACTTCCAACTTGATGTTGAATAGTAGTAAGAAAGGATGCCCTTGACTGATTCCTCATATTAGGAGGAAAATGTTCAGGTTTTCATCAAGTGTGATTTTAGTTGAAGGTTTTTTGTTTTGTTTTTTAAGTTTTCTTATCAAGTTTAGAAAATTTCCATCTATTCTTAATTTGCTGAGGTTTTTTTTGTTATGAATGAGTGTTAGAGTTTTTCAAATGCTTTGCCTCCATCAGTTGATGTTATCATCTGATTTTTTTTCCATAGCCTGTTGATATAATGTATTACATTGACTAGTTTTGAATATTGAACCAGCCTGGCATCCTTGGACTAAATCCCATTTGGTTGCAGAGCATGAATTTTTTATATATATATAATATATATTAAAACATTCCATTTGATTGTATTTTGTTGAGGTTTTCCTCTAATTTGTTGAATTCAGAATAATTTTGATGTTGGATATATTGGATAGTTTGAAGTTTGTACTTTTCAAGGAATTGTTCCATTTCATCTAAATTTTCTAATTAGTTTATAGACTTGTTTATTTCCTTATTACTATTTTAATGGGAGCAGAATCTGTACTTCTATCCCATTTGATTCCTGATTTTGGAAATATGTCCACTCTCTTTCTATCTTTGTCCATCTTCTTAGGCATTTATCAATTCTGATCATATTGGAAAATCAGTACTTTATTTCATTGATTTTTCTCTATTCATAATTTCACTAATTTCCGTTCTGATCTTTATATCTTCTACTTTGGTTGTATTTTGCTCTTTTTTCTTTTCTAATGTAAGCATTTAGTACTATAAAGTTTTCTCACAGCATTGTGACAGCCTCATCCCGTAAGTTCTCATTACAGTTTATTCAGCTCTAATGTTTCTCAATTTCTTTATAGAGACTTTAATGGGTTCATGGATTATGATTTAGTTTTCTAGTGTTTGGAGTACTTTTGTTATCTTTTCTTACTGATTTCTAGTTTGGTCTGTTTAAGTTTGTTGAAGTGTTTATGACCCAAGATACAGTCTATTTTATTGAATGTTCTAAAAGGCCTCCTGAAAAGAATGTTGTTCTGCTGTCATTGGGTGGAGTTTCTATAAATGTCCGCACAGTCCTCTTGGTTGGTAGTAGTATTCAAATTTTATATATCCTTACTGACTTTCTGTTTAGTATTTCTGTCAATTCCAGAGAGAGAGATGATGAAGTCCTGATGTAGAACTGTCCTGAAGTATAACAGTCTGTTCATCTTTTAAATTCTGTCGTTTTCTGGGGTGCCTTGGTGGCTCAGTTGGTTAAGCATCTGCCTTCAGCTCAGGTCGTGATCCCAGGGTCCTGGGATGGAGCCCCACATTGGGCTCTCTGCTCAGCAGGGAGCCTGCTTGTCCCTCTCCCTCTTCCCTGTGCCTGCCACTCTATTTGTGTGCTCTCTTGCTCTCTCAAATAAATAAATAAATAAAATCTTAAAAAAAAATAGATTATCATTTTCTGCTTCAGGTATTTTAAAGTTCTGTTGTTTGGTGCATTCCCATTTAGTATTGGTATGTTATCTTGGTGTGTTGACCCTTTCATTATGTGATGTCCCTTTTTGTCCCTGTTCATTTTCTTGCCTTTGAAGCATACTTTGAGTGATATTAATATAGTCCCTACTGCGTTTTTTTTTTTAAGATTTTATTTATTTGAGAGAAAGCACAAGCCGGGTGAAGGGCAGAGGGAGAAGCAGACTCCCTGCTGAACAGGGAGCCTGACGTGGGACTCGATCTTGGACTCTGGGATCATGACCTGAGCTGAAGGCAGACACTTAATAACCGACTGAGCCACCCAGGCGCCCCCCCTACTGCACATTTTGATTAATGTTTGCATGGTTTATATTTTTCCATAATTTTATTTTCAACTTTATCTGTATCATTACATTTGAAGTAAGTTTCTTGTAACAGCATATAGTTGGGTCTTAACTTTTTGGTGGTAGATTTACATCACTTAGATTGAAAATAATTATTGGTATGTCAGGGCTTAAGTGTACCGTTTTTTAATTTGTTTTTTGTTTGTGTTCCCTTTATATCGTTCATCTTGTTTTCTGGTTGTTTTTGTTATTTTGCTTTTCTGTTTTGTGTTGCTTTTTTGTTGTTTTTCCCTCCTGTGGGTTACTTCAACATTTCTTAGAATTCCATTTAGTATATCTATAATATTTTTGCATGTTGTCTTAATTTCTGTATCTAGGTATTATACATACATAAGTTATCACAGTCTAGTATTATCAGCATTTTAGCACTTTGATGTATAGAAACCTTAATTCCATTAGGTTCCTTTACATTTTCCGTTTTAAATATAATTATTCTAAGTATTTTCTCTTTATACACTGAGCACCGATTTGGATGTTATAATTTGTGCCTGGGCTGTGAAAACATTTTTTACAAAACGCACAAAAAGTATGCTGTTTACCTCTGTTACCCATTGCATTGTTCTTTCTCCCTGCTCCCTCCCTCTTCCCTTTCTCCCTTCTTGAAGTCCTAGGCCTTCTGTTAACACTTCCTTTCTGTTTGGCAAATTTACTGTAGCCTTTCTTCTGGGGTGGGTCTGCTGTTGACAAAGGACTTTGTTTTCCTTCATCTAAAAGATTTTCTATGTCCCTTTCATTCCTGACAGATGTTTTTGTGGGAGAAAAGACTTGGGGTTTACAGTTCTTTTAGTACAAGAAGAACATGTTACTTCCCTGTCTTCTCCGTGGTTTCAGATGAAAAACCTACTGCCATTCAACCATTGTTCCCCTGCCTGTGCTGCATCCTTTCTGTCAAGTGCTTTTAAAGTGTTTTTGTCTATAGAATTCATCAGTTTGATTACGATGTGTCCTGGCATCGAATTTTTGGAGTTCTCCTGTTTGTTCACCTGTTTAAAGCTGAAGATACAGGTCCTTTGCCACATTTGGGGGATTTTCAATAATTATGTCTTCAAATAGCTTTTCAGCCCTATTCTTTCTTTTCTTTCAGGGACTCGAATTAAATGAGTTCTCAGATTTTTTGTTTATCCAGTCTGTTTTCTCTCTGTTACTCAGATTGATCAATTTCCATGGATCTTTTTTTTTTTTTAAGATTTTATTTATTTATTAGAGAGCACAAGCAGGGGGAGCAG